CCAATATCCTGTGGCAAACTTGTGCATCCGTTTTTCATGCTTATTCTTTTATACAACGTAATTACATGTGTTTCAATACGATTAGATGAACGATGCTTCGTTCAAGGATGAACGCTTTTACAATGCTACTTTGATGAGTTCTATGAGCTGTGGGATAGACATTTCTGATGCCTAGAAGGAAAGTAAACGTCATTTAAACAATCAGAACTGTTTACTCATCGAAGCAATAGCCTTGAAACCAGTAAAGAATATAATACGGAAGAGAATACTGAAGACAAAGTATTTCAACGATAACAGGCTATTGGTTTATAACCTCATTTTGCTAATATTCGATCAACTGTCAATGAAGGAGATATAACAAAAAAATAATTTGGCGACGGCTAGGTTGAAATGAACGTTGTCATCACTTGAAAAGAAAAATTCATCATACACAAGAAACTCAAGTAGATTTTCACGAAAAAAATACGAACAAGAAAAATACATTGTGCTTCTTTAAAAAAATGAACATTTTAGCAGTGTCTTTCATGAAATGACTTCATTGTATGATTCGAATATCTGATATGAATGATAGTCGATAATATTGACTGTAGTAGACCTATAAGAAGTAGAAAGATTTACTTCATCTTTCCGCTGAGAAAAAGTCTTACTCATATTGCTATTGATTGAAAACTTTCGATATCAGAAAAAAAAGTATGACATAAGGGTAGTGTTCTTTTATCTTTTGGAATGAATCAAAGTACTACGTACATTTTTTTTTTTGATTATATTTTTATAGATGTATCTCGTACAGTCTTTTTTTCGCTTTATCGAACCAATCAAAAACTATTGTCGGCTCGAATGTTGTTTCGTTATTTTTTTTTTGTCGTCATTCGAACATTGACCTTCAATAGATATATTTAAAAATTGTTTAAGGAAAATACAAATATACAGTTTTATTGAGGAAAACTTGCTCTATCTTCTGAAAACAAAAACATGATAATTATTTTCAGATTTGAGAGCCGATGTTTTGAAATAGTCATTATAATTTCGTTAGTAGAACCTGAATGGATTCATAATAAAAATTTGCTACATATTGCGGAAATTACATATTCAACGAAGGCGAACAGTGAATGTACGCTATAATGTCAGGTTTTCGGCTTCCATCTACCTTATAACAGCCTGAGTTAAAATGTGATGATAAAGATGTAGGTCAATAATTTGATTGTCGCTAGCAAAAGCGCTTGCAATAAGCTTTAACAACTGAGATCAATGGTCAGTTAGTACGTTTCCTTAGCAATCAAGAGCAACAGACACTGGACTCCTTTCTCATAGTTTCTTAGCAACGAAAAAAAAGGTGCTGAACGGCATTAACAACAAGACTTAGACAGTTCGAGAAAAGAGATCGGAACCAAACCGAGCCGAACTAATTTTCAAAAAGACAATCGAATACAGTCAAATCTTAAATGAAAAATAATTGATTGTATTATAATCGATTTTGAGAAAATTTAATGCAGTTGACGACGATAAAACGAATTTTCATCGATTGTGTTTGATATCTTCAATTTTATTTCCATAATACATAACTTTTTTTCTCTGTTCATAACAGTGACGCTAAGTATTTTTATGACGATCGATCTCTTCTATGCGATGTGATTTGCTTTTTTTTTCTTTAAATTTCTTCATTTTTTTGTACTGCGATAAATAATCGTTTGTACCCGTGTGAAATTATGTACTAACACTAAAAATAAAAAGTCATGATACTTACGCATTATTATTAAAAACTTTATTTTAATGTACAAATGTGTTAAACAGTATTAATTTACACGAATATCAACTCTAATATGACACCATAGTCGTCTGAGAATGAAGTTTTAACCTGCCATCTACTTCTGATCAACGAGAACTAGAGTTACTCAAAACAGCGAAATTCCATTCGATTTGATCTCCGTTCGAGGATATTCTAAAGCATTTCTTGAAACCTAAATGGCTGGAACACATTTTTAGTGTTATAAATAATACAGCTTCTAAGGTTCGTACAGATAGTCGATTATATGATATAAATATTGAAGACGATGACTGATAATGTTCGTGATGTGTCACAGTTGTCATATAATCAGAATAAAAGGCGTGAACTGATAAAGTTGTAGCTTTCGGAAATAATCTATACTAGTGTTTCTGTGGTTATCTACACATAAGAGCACATTGAGAGCTGTTGTAGATAGACAAGATGCGTGTACAGCACGCTTATTTATCAGTTAAATCAATGGTTAGAATAATAATAATAATAATACTAATGACTGTGCACTTGATAGGACTTTTTTTCTTAAAAAACGATATGAATAATGTATTTTTTTATTTCGTTTTTTATGGTGAAGCTCGTTCTTCTATTAATAATATAATTTTTTTATCAAACATTAATAGAGCTTTCTGATCAAAATGACCTATTTTTAAAATTTTATGCATATCAATATTTTACCTATTCATGCTTTTTGATCCAAAAGTGCTATTAATGTTTGATTAAAAGTTTATATTATAAATAAAAAAAACTAACCTGACTATAAAAAAATGAAATAAATAAATAGATTAGTCATGTTTTTTCTTATAATAATAATAGTAGTTTAAGAAAAACGACCTTATAGCGATAAGAAAAATAAAAAATAAAGTAAAAGTAAAAAGCTAAAAGAATAAAAAAGGATTGTTTGAAACGTAGAAATAAGACAGATTGATCCCCAACGGTCGATTATTCTTCAAAAGAAACTACTATCTGTTAGAGATTTTTCACTTGACATATTTTACATTAGTATAATGTAGCTGAAAAAATAAATACGAGCATTCCATATTTTAATTCCAAATGGGCTGCGCTAAGTAACAAGCTTTCGTCATAGAAATAAGAATCATTCTATTCTCTGTTGACGACACTATTATCAAGTCAAGCAAAAGTGTCACAAACATACAAATTTAATTAATCATACGAATAATTCTAACAAAAAACATAGTATTCTTAATAAATATGTTCAATCCATTTGAGTGAAAGCATCTTATATCTATAGAATAGGTAGTAGAAATCACAGTGTCTCTTTTAGGTTTTTTTATTTCTCAAACGACTAATTTGTTTTCAATAAATAATCATAAGAAATTTGTACAAATAATTTTTGCCATCATTTTCCTGTTAAATCCTTTCGACAAAAATAGAACTTTGATGGCTACCTGTTGTCTAATTTTATTAACATCAATGATATTCTCAAAAGTCAAAATATTCATAAAATTTAATTTCTATATAAAGAGAAAATAGTAATGTCCTGCACGAGTACGACTTTTCGTAGCAGAATCTGAACTCGGATAGCTGTATTCGACATCCGATAGATACTTTCACACTTATAGCACGGTTCTTCAAACTCTTATTTTATACACGAAATAGTATATTATTTAGTTTCTTCCATAAACAGTAACAAACCAAGAGATTATCTTAAATTCCATAAAAAAAAACAAATAACTCAGGATTTACTTGATATCTTTCTGCTTCTAAGATCCGATCAATTTCGCTAGGCATACGTTTGCTTGTTGCTGATGAGACTGAAATGGAACACTGTGTTGATGCTAAACATCATAGTTGTGGATACGCACATTCATGCTTTGTTCAACACGATAATACGTATTCACTTTTTTGATAACTCATTTCCTCTCCATGTATTCAGTTACTTCGTCATCATCTGTAGATAAATGTTTGTTAGAAACAAATTGTTTTAGTAAAACAATATCGCTTTCCACTTCTCCGACCTAATCTCAGGTACAATTTTCAGTCGCATACTTTTATATAAATTAGTAATGTGAAAAAGTAAAAATATTTTGGAACGTCAAGATCTCATTAATTGTCGGATATGAGATCATACCGGACTCTTATTCCGGATCGAGTGTTCGATTAAGCTACAGGATACTATAAAATAATTTCCAACTATAGAAAATTTCAAGTAAACAGTTTGACATTTCAAATATATTTCTAATTGCATTGCTGAAAAAAAAGGATGAAAATATGATCATTAAAGTTCAGAACTTATGTCACATTCTTTCAATACAGAAATCATACTGTCAGAATTCATTGAATGTTTGCCTAATTAATACATTAAAAAAAATGATTTTGTCTGATTACAAAGTTAAAAAAATAGAATTTGAAGCAAAATTTTTCTATAATGTAATAAGAGTCATTTTAAGCATTTGAACACCATGTGATTCAATATTATAAGCTGTATAATTTCCTTGAAATTCTCCAAGATCTTTATGTAACCAAAGATCTCGTACTTTAACTTGACTTGTTAATTGCCAACCTAAATCAGTAAATAGTACTAAAATTGTTTGAGTTATATTATTCGCTCGATTAAATGCAAGAACAGCTTTTGATCCATCAGCTAATGGTCCAGCCCATACTTCAGTATTATAAACAAGGTCAATACGTTTTTTTTTTCCTTGTATACCAAGTGAATCTTGATTAACAGCAATAACTTCTGAATTTGTTAAAATTTCTAAACTTTCTTTTGATATAGTTCGTACATCACAACCAATAAGTAATGGTGCTTTAGCTATTGACCAAAGACTCATATGAGTCCGATATTCATTTAATGTCATACCATCATTACCAATTTCTAACATATCTGGATCATTAAAACCTATTCAAATAAAAAAAAAGTTATTAGATTCAAAGAAGAAGTTATTCCCTTTTTTTCCTACCATGTGGTGCTGCAAAATCAGCAAATAAATCATTAATATCAATATTTAATAACATTGAAAGCCAATGATCATTAATATCTCCCGTTGTTCTCCATGAATTTGCAATTGTACGAAACCATAATGCTGGTAACATATCACCCCATTCACATGCTGAATAGAATATTGGTCGACCTGTATGATTTAATGCATCTCGCATACGTTCATAACGTTCTTTTATTGTTTTATTTGTTAGGAAAGAATGACAATTATCATATTTAAGATAATCAACTTTCCATTGTGCATATACATGTGCATCAATTTCTTCGTAACCAAATGAACCTGGTCGACCAGCACAAGTATTATATCCAGCATCCGAATAAAGACCAAATAAAAGACCACGAGAATGAACATAATCAGCTAATGATGCTATACCAGATGGAAATCCAATAGGATCAGGAATAATAAAATTTGTTTTTGTATCACGAGATGATGCCCAACAATCATCAATATTAACATAAGTATAGCCAGCTTGAGCTAAACCAGTAGAAATAAGTGCATCAGTTGTTGAACGAATTATTGTTTCATTAATACTACATCCAAAATGATTCCAACTATTCCATCCTAATAAAACATTTGATTACGTATTATTAGTTTCTTATAAATAGATTTATTTAACAAACCCATTTGCGGTGTTTTACCAAGTCCATTATCAAGAGAATAAATAAAATTAAATAAAATAAGAATAATAAGAGAAAAGAATAACATGTTTACATTTGTTAAATATAGACTAATGTTTATATGAGAAAGAAAGTATGTGTATATGTGTGCGTGCGTTTGTTTATCTCAGATAAATATATTATCTTCTTCTAATCGATAACAAAATGATAAGTTTCTTTTCATAAACAGTTTTATTTTGTTAAAAATAATTTATGTAATAATTTAAAATTTGTTCTACTTTACATGAAATTGTTTAACAATAAACGATATGATTTTCTTCTTTACAAGAATTTATCTTAATTTTGTTGTAATAGAATTTGAAATAAATATCAAATTTTTAAAATGCAAAAAAAATGTTTCAAAACAAAATAAATTATAATACCTGTGCTCTGAATATTTAAGTAAATAGAGTATTTGAATCCGTAGTAACATTCCGATGACATAGTCCAGTAGGTGGACATATGATGATCGGATCGAACAACGATGATAATTGGCTTAAAGATATGAGAGAACGAGAGTGATGATGACACAAGGATTAATATTGACGAGTGTATCGACAAGGAAAAGAAAAAAAATCAAACTTGATCACATCTTTCAAATAAGAACATTTCAATTGTACTATATGTTCAAAAATGTACAAGTTTTCTTTTCTATTATTGATTAGCAGTTTATGGTGTTTAGCAATTATTGATGGCAAACGAAGAGGTTTGTTTTAGATATTATAAGTAGCTTAATTTGATTTTTAATTTATTTTTCTTTCCAGCTACAGCTCAATCACAACATAATTTGGGTGATTTTTGTATGCCAGGTACATGTGCTAGTTTAAATTCTAATTGTAAACGTATTGGTGGAAATGCTTTTCGATGTGTTTGTAAAGAACAATATATGGCTATAAATAAAACTCATTGTGGTTTGTAAAAACAAAAAAAAAGCAAAAAAAAACTATTTTTTTCTACAAATAATATTTGTTTATCTTATAGTAAGAGTAATCAATGCATCAGTTGATGATGCGTGTGCATCATGCATTAAACGTAATGGTATTTGTTTGGATGAAAATTCTGATGATTATATGGATAAATGTTTTTGTCCGACTGAAAATGATTTATGTCATGATCGAACAACAACATATTTTCTACCAGCTACACAACCTTTAAGAAAAAGGTAATGTTTTCTAATTTGATATAAAATTAAAACATAAATAAAATGGTTTTTTTTTTGTTTCTTTCAGTATACTGGGTGTAACATCATTATCAACTAGTCGAGTTGTTAATCAAGGTGATCTTATACTTGGTTTATATGATGTAAATCAACAACGATTAATTGATAATGGTGGTTCAGTTTTTATTGGTGATCGTTTATTTGTTGAAATAAAATATCGAACAAGTTTGATTTATGCATTTTTATTTATTGTTCATATTTATTTCCTTTAATTTTGTTTTTTAAAGATACTCATAATCCTGATCGTCATCAAATAATTGCAGAAAATTGTTCAATTGCTTCAAGTGTTTCTGATAATGATATCAAATTAGAAAAAATTCAATTATTAACTAATCGTTGTCCATCAATTGATTCACGTTTATCAATACGTTTTCAACGTATTGATCCATATCATATAAAAAGTACTATTTTTCAAATACATAAATTTCAAACAACATCTATTGTTTATTTACGATGTTCAATTGCAATTTGTTTTGGTCGAATAGAAAATTGTCAAGAAGTATAGAAAATTTCATTTGTTTTCTTTATGAAATCTTTTTCTTTTTTTTAGCGTTTATGTCCGGAAATTCGACGATCATCATCACATCGAATAAATAATTCATCATCGATCGATTCAGCTCCATTTGATTATGTTGATGAAGATAGTGCTAGTGTTGTTGCATTAAAACGACGACAAACTTTTGAAAATGATGATGAACAACAAAGAAAAGTTTCAAGATTAATAACTGATTTAACAAGATCATTTGAATCCAATAATGATCTTTATGAAATAAGACAAATACAACAACAATTTACTATTGAAATGCCATTAGCACAATCAGCACATAAACGTAAATTACCTTACGGTAAATAGTGTTATTTATCTTGTGAAACTCACATTATGTTTTTTTTTTCGAAGTAAAATATAATGTAAATCTTAAGTCGAGGTTTCATGGTTCCTCTCTCATAGAAACGAAAGTCAGAGGCGAATAAGTATGTTCGTCCTAGCAGGATAGAGGAACCAACGGTCATAGGATATGTTTCGATAGAAGCTGAGAACACCATGCGTCAGACTCGTTTCCCAGAGTTTCTTAGCAATAGAAAAAGTCGCCAAGCGGCATTAACTACAAGCCTTAGATTGTTCTAGGATATTCCAAAGGCTTCCTCGAAATTTAAATGACTGGAGCATCTTTGAGAATGTTCTAAATATTGCAGTTTTTTATTTTTACGCAAATAAAAATTTATATTCATGATGTCAAGAATGATAGGTAATGATGCATTGATTTGTCACAGCTATTATATGATCACCATGAAAAGCGTGAACTGATCAAGTTACAACTATGAGAAATGATCAACAGTGATGCTTATCAGCTTATCGAGATATATACTAGTGCGTTGAGATCTATTTTAGATATAATGGATATATACAACGGGCTTATTTTTTCATTGAAATCAATACTTAGAGCAATAATAATAATGTTAAATAAAAAATAGCAACAAGGTAAACAAAAAAATGGAACGTCAGGAAAAAAGCTGTTAGCGCAATTACTACGACAGTAAAATACAAAACATGATGTAGCTGCTTTTGCTAATCATAGGAAGATTATTTTATTCTATCTATTTTGGGAGCACATGTCTTGAACATCATCTGACTTAATCCTTCAGAACTTCTATAAGGAAATAGTTCATATATTATAGCGAGATATTATTGATACACGGTCGTTGATTCAACAATGTCTGTCACGATTTGTAGGGAATGCAAATTTTTATTCTAGTCTTTTCAAAAAGGAAAAAAATATTCTGTTCGAAATGTAGAAATAAATAAGACAAATCGTTTCCCTGGTGATCAATTATCCTTGGAAAACAACTATAGTCTGTTAGAGATTTTTCACTATGACAGAGTAACTCGTCGTTTGACTTTATAAGTAGTGTCCTTGTTAGCGTATTTTGTATACATGTGAGTTCTACATTTTAGCCCAAAAAAGGTTTCACTAATAAGTTTTTTATTAAATATATCTATATCTGTACATATAGAAGCACTTTATGGTCGCACATCATTAGCAACACAAGGTGCTGTTGAACGATCAACTATAATTGCTGCTATATCGATTATATTTATTATTGGTATATCAGTTTCATTATTTATTATTTATCGAACATGTTATGTTGAATATGTTCAACGAATCTATGGTGCAACATCGTTTGCTGGCTTTGTTAATAGTCCGGAATCAATTTATGGAGGATTAAGAAGTACATCACAAGTTTGTCGTTATGATATGGGACGTCGATCAGAACAACGTTTTGATGAAAGTTTTTTTGTTAATAATGTTGAACCATTAGGAGCTTATCGAAGACAATATTAAACAAATTTCTTATTGTTATTGAATGGATATGGAAAAATCAAAGCAAGTGACTTTTAATAAAGTAAAAAAAAAAAGTTTAATTAAATTTAAAAATAAATATTCTTTGATTCAATGATTAAAATCTGAATACAATTCTACAAATCGTCTCATTCAAAAAAAATTCATTTATATTTATTTTCTTAGAAAATTTTATTTCGTCATCGGTTATTCTTTTTATTCGTTTTTAATTAAATATACATTCGATGTTTCGTCACCCTCAAAACATATATTTGAAATTTGAAATTTCATATAATAAGAAAAATTTACTTTTTCGGTTTGTTGTATTCGAAATTGGATTTGTTGATTAATTTCTAATTCTTTATACCAAATTCGTTTTTCTGATTCCCTATTAAAATAAAATCTGAATATAGAATTAGAAATTAAAAAAAAATCCTATCGGACTAGTATTCTCTATGGAGTCGATTTTGTTAATAATACGAATATCTTTTGCTTCAGCACCACGATTACTTTGAATTTCGAGAAATTCTACTTCCATTCCTTCTTCAAGAGATTCTAAACCAGTTTGACGAATCGAACGAGAATGTACAAATAAATCTGCACCATCACTTTTTCTTGTAATAAAACCAAAACCACGATTTTTACTATTTGGGGAAAAAAAAACAAAGGAAAGATTCTCAAATAAACTTTTTTTCTTCAACCTACATAAATTTCCTAACAATACCAATATGTCGATCATTTGTAAAAGTTTTAACTTGATTGTTCTTCACATTGGATATTTGATCTTTTACAATGACATCCAATAAAAATAAAAAATTTCAAAACTAAATATAAAAAAAACAAATAATCATAAAAATAATTACTCGTGCTTCCAGTCCTTTAACTCCTTGAAATACTTTAAATTCGACTTGTTGTCCTTCCTAAAAATAAAATTCTTTATTAATATATAATAGAATTAGTTGTTTCTTTCACTTGAAGTGTTTTAAATCCGGTGCCAAGAATTGATTGAAAATGTACAAATACATCATTTCCATTACTATCTCGTTTAATAAAACCAAAACCTTTATCTTGTGAAAATCGTTTAACAATTCCTGTATCTCGAATGCCATTCACACCATCTTTTACTGTCGATAAAGTTTTTATTTGTAATCGAAAAATTTTTTGTTGTTGAATGATTAAATGTTTGAATAGAGATGAAAACATCTGAAAAAATACTTATCAATGCAGTTCCTTTCGAGTTAAAATGTGGAATTCATATATGTTCTTTAGCTTCATTATAATAATACAAAATCCTTAAAGTGAAAAATCTTTATCAGACGATAATTTTCTTGCAAGAATAATCGATTCTAAGAGCAACGATCTGTCGTATTGTTTTCTGCAAACTAATACAAGGCTTTTTCTTATGTTTTGTTACATTAACTATTATTAGTATTTTAAGAAAGGCATTTGAATGTATTAAAACAATCTAAGCTTTGTTGTCAATGCCATTTGACGCTCTGCTTACTTTTCTAGGAGTCTGGTACTTGTTGTTCTTGGCTACGTGAAAGGATTTCTATCCAATTACTTCTGACCTTAGTTACTTAGGTGTGTAAGAGAGGCGGTGGCAGAAAACTTTCACTTGCTATTTTTCTTCGAAAAATATATCTACGTAAGCTTCATAAAATGATTTTATTATCGATGCAAAAAATATGATATAATAACAGATATAAAACTAGCTGAAAATAATAGAAAACCAGTATGATAAGTTATTTTTGATTGAATACGTTCTTCACTTTGTTCATTTAATAAGAGAATATTTTCATAAGAATCTTTAGAAGATAAATTTAATAATTCATTTTTTAATTCCTTAATTGATATTTCTTGTTTCATAATTAAATCTTCATAAAGTTTTTGTGATTCATTTGTTATATTACGAAACTCTTGCATACGATAACGATTTGATAATGTTGCACCTTTAGAAAAAAAATATTTTAAAAAATTGAAATTAAAACAAGAAGAATAATATACTTACCAATGATTCCAGCTAAAGCACCAACGACTGAACCAATAATTGACCAATATTTTGTTCTTTCAATACGCATTTTTTCTTTTTCTTGACTTTCACGTAATGTTAATTGTAATGAAGAAAATAATTGTCTTTCAGTATCATCTTGTCTTTTTAATTCCTGTTGAGCAAATTTTTCTTTTTTAACTAAATCATGTTCATTTTTGAACAACTCTAAATAAGCATCATCACTACGTGTTAATTTTTCCATTTCCAATCGAATACGAGCTAATTCAGATTGAAGTTTTATTAATTCATCTGAATATAATCGACGTTGTGTTTGAGATGCTATAAATGCACGTTCAGCCTATATAAAAAGAAAACTAAATCGATAAATAAGATTGAAATATAACGATCTCACTGTCGTTTATATTACATCATTGACAGCACTTTGAGCTTGTTTTACTTCTTTAAGACCAACAACATCTTCATAGACATCAAGCCAACGATATAAACGCGATAGACGACTAGAAGAAATAATTTTTGTATTATTAATTGAAAATTGACGAATAGTTAATCGTGTTAACATCGATGAACTTTATTCATAAGCTGATGAAATGTAGAAGGAAAGAATGAATCATTTTGATTTGTCGAACAGCCAATCGAATAATGTAAGTTTATAAACCTAAAAATAATAGATGGTGTATGAGTTGGTATCGTCATTTTTAGTATTCAAAAGAGAAGACATAAAAATACCGTTCCTTATCTATTCAAGGACTGTTGAAATTTTTTCAACTCCATAATAGAGCTTAACTATTGAAATTACAGACTTTGGCTCAGATTTGATTAAAAAACAAGAGATTTTTCTATTATTATTTTTCGACAGCAAGTCACTCTATACATGATACATACGAGTCTAACGGAGAGGGCGTTTATTGAGTCTGAGATGTTAAAACTATGAATCTTCAGATATTGTAGATTAATTTGAAACCGAAAAACAAAAAAGATTCAAAGTCATAATAAGAATTTCAGATTTTAATCCATTACAATAACGAAAAAACGAAAGGATTAAGTTTTCTTTGTCATGTCATACTTCTGTCTAAGATGGTCATCAATCTGAATCTTTTAAACTTTTCGTATATTCTCAAAATCAAATGATGTCCAATATTAAGAGGTATTTTCCTGTAAACCAATTTCAATAAGACTATCAATTTATTGTTCTTGTTTATAACAATATAGGAAATTAATCAATTTTTGTTTATTGAGTCAACAAATTTCTTATAAGATTAAGATGTAAAATACAATTAATGGAGTAGATTTTAATAAGCTATTTTTCGATATTTTTAATTAACAAAATAAAGTTGTTTATTTATCATTTATAGAATTTATTAAAATACAAATTAATAAAATATGAATAAATTAACTTCAGATTAACTTTATTCATTCATGTAATGTTTTTTTCGATTTTGTTTGGTTAAATCAAAATACTTCTAATTCTGAAATGAAATACAAATATTGATTTGATTTTTTTAAAATTCTATACTAATCACAAATTTTTTTTTTTCATTCTATTTTCTTTCCTCAATCACACATATTTTTTCACTGAGTGAAACTTAAGAAGATCAAACAAACTTCACCTAACGTGTGAGCATCAAAAGTAATACAACAGCACAAATAATTAATGTCGAATAGTAGTCAATTTCTTATTCCAATTAATTACGATATTACAAAAGAAGTTTATCCTAATGAAGAAGTTGTTCGTAAACGAAAATATCATATGAATGGAGTCTTATCAGCCAAAGAATATCATCAATTATATATCAAACCATTGACTAGTGAAACAAATTTTCCATCGGAAGTCTATGCTGACAAACTACGACGACGAGCTAAATTCCGTTAAAAACTATATATTTTTTTTCTTTTATGTTCTCATATTTTTTTTCTCTTTACTCGCTTACCTTTCTTGTTTTTCTACTATCTTCTTGCATGCCATTATAAAAGAAAAAAAAACCGGGACTGAATAACAGAAGCAAACATATATATTTATTTTTCTGTTGCTATGTCGCATAATCCCAATCCAAATGCTAATACATCAGGTTTTAATTATCCAAGTGCAGCTGGTATACCAACAAATACCGATCAAACACATGTAGGTATTTTACCTACAATAAATTCCTCAACGATAGAATCACCATCAATGGTACCCATAACAACAACAACAACACAATCAAATTTAACTGATCATGTAGGACCATCAATTGATCTACATTATGGGAAATTAAATGATGAACATGGTGGAGCTGGAACAAGAGCAGATGATCGTAAAGGTGAAAATGTTAAAAATGATGGTTATACAGCTACACCTGTCACTCAAAAAGTACATCCATAAATTTCAAATAATAAAATTCATCTATATGATTGTAAAAAAAATTATTATTATTATTATTTTTTATTCAAGCAAGATTATTCATGAAATAAGAATTGTATTTAGTAATATTAGTTTTATGGCATGATGAATTTATTATTCCAGATTTATAAATAGTTGATATTATAAAAAAAAATCTCTTTTGCGCATATTACTCTTGCATTTATTATTTTGAATAAAATTTATTTTCTGAAAGATTTTAATATGATTCAATTAACCACATATATTTCTAAACGTATCGATTCATTATTATTTTACAGAGAGAAAAAAAACAATTGAACAAATACAATAATACTAAATGTCTTCTACATCGAAATAGAATCTCAATGATGAAATATCATTTCTAATAATAATATTTCAATGATCTCGATCTTCCGGTGGTCGATATGGTAAATTAAGATATTGAAAAATCGACTCTTCAGTCGGTGTATTCAATGCTTGACCTGTATTAATTTTTTCAACACCCTAAATAAACCCACATAGATATTTCATCATGAGTTTTTCTCATACCTTTCGTACAACACCATGATAAAGTCCATGTTGAGAAAGTGACATATTTAAACGACGAGCTAAACGACGCATAGATCGATTAAACATAGCTGATCCAGTAAAATAAAGTAATGAACAAGCCCATTCATTTGCTGGTATAAATATTAGATCAATACGACGATGCTAATTAAATAAATTTTAATTTTAATTAAATCAAAATTATCTATACTTACAAGTGATCCTGTTTCTGGTAAACGACATACACCAAAATAGGTCATTTGTTCTGAAATATGACCTGTTGATGATGATGATGATGATGTTTCAGAATGATTAATCAAATCATCAGTAAGAAATCCTTGGTAAAAACAAAAAATTCTTAGATTGATGAATATTCAGCACCGAAAAGCTAAGCACACAAGAAAGAATGAAGATAGATATAAAGTCTATCGAAAGATCAATAAATGTATATGGGTGCGAGTGTCGACATGGCTGTCCACGATTCCCTCTCCTACGTCAGTATTAAAATTCACAATCATGCACATTTATTGGTCTTTCAATAGACATCATATTTACTTTCAGTTTTTTGTGTGCTTAACGTTTCGATGCTGAATAGTGTTCTGCAACCGGGTGTATATCCGCTATTAGGTACAGTTCAGGTACCGAACATGAAAAAGTATGTAAAAGCATAGAAGTGAAAACCAGTTCGATTATGATTGTGCAATTTATTGTACTTGAGAACAGGTCACAGAAGTGGAAAACGATATTGTTTCCCTATAACAATTCGTTTTTAATAAACATTCATCTATGCATGATGATGAACCATATGGGTACAACTATCCAAGTCTGGTTGCGAAAAGTTGTACCCGTACAGGACACTAGTTCTGAACATTTCTGTTCCCAAATTCTCAATCGCTACAAAGTTTACTCATGTTATGAATTCATTTTGTTTTTTTTACCGATATCTTTTAATTTATCAATTAATGGTGCAAGTACACTTTCATGTAAATGTCTTTTTCCATCTTTAAATGTAATTAATATATCAATATCACCACATGAAGGTTTTAATCGACGATAACTTCCACATGTTTCAATCATTAGACCAGGTACAACTTCATCAGCTGTTCGTTTAACCTTAATCAAAAAGAAAATTCATTTTGATTTGTGATTTTTTTTTTCATCATCATAATATTTTGTTCTTTTTTACAATTGTTTCAATACGAGTTACTTCGTCTCGTGGAATACGTGTATTAAAATCATTATAATATTTTAAACCAATTTGTTGTGTACGTGTAAGACGTGCTCGTTTACGTAAATCATCAAGTGTACGAAAACCTTGTGCAAACCATTGTTTTGTTGTTTCAGTACCAGCACCCCATACACCAGCAAATAAAGCCACTAATGAAATACAGTTTAACAAAAAAAAAAAATTTTAAATTTTCTTTTTAACTTACATGTAGCAACATCATCACGTGATTGAAATGCAGATAATTTTACAAGTCCATTTGTACGAATTATTTCCCAAATTTTATCAGCTAAAGATTGTTTTACATATGGTAATGATTTGATTTCCTGAAACAAAAAAAAATAAATAAGAAATACATTGAAAGAAAAGGCAAAATTTTATTTACTTCATAAGTACGAATTGGATGTGTACAACGTTTAAGTGCTTCGATCGCTTTTTGATATGCAATACTACGACCTTTATCATTAGTTATTAGATATAATTTAGACATTTCCTAAAAATTAATAAAAATAAAATACAAGACTTAAAATAATTTATATTTACTCGTAATTTTTCAATGATTTTTTCATTTGGATTACCAACAACAGGTGTTGATGACGAAGCTTCGGAACATAACCATTTACCAGCCTAAAAATTCTTTTTTTTTTGATAAATAAAAAAACGACTTCTTCTCATACTGTTCGTGGTAATTCACCGGGTTGAATTGGTTGAATATCGATATTATGCTAATAAATAAAAATAAAACAAAACAAAAAAAATTTACAGAAACAATTTAATCCAAAAGAATACTTTTTTTGAATTTATTTCATCGTCAGTATCAGATGCTGATGATGATATTGAACGTTCTCGTTTTAATGATGATCGTTCTATTACTATTTCATTTTTATTTGTAGGATTAGATGTTTCTGTTATTGTTGATATTGGTTGAGAAATAGTAGCATTAAGTATATAAGGTTGATGTGATAAAAGTTTATTTTGTTTAATTGAATCACTTAACCATTGTGTTCGAATAAATATTGGTGATGATAATAATGATGAACTTTTTAATGCTTTATTTGCTGAAATAAAATCAAGTTCATCATCAACTAAGATAAAAGAATTTTGATTATGATCAACAATAGTAAGACCAAATTTAATGCAAGCTTTTTGAAAGATTTCTAAACGACGTTTGCCAACTCTTAAAAATGAAACAGTCTGTGGAAGACAAGTGTCATCTGTCATTCGTGTATACAATAATATTTTGAAAATAAAAATATCATTCAATTCATTCAATCATCATTGGTTGCTGACCAATGTCCAGTGATGTCGCTCTTGTCTTGTTTTCATACGCTAGTACTATTGTGCGTTTCAAAATAAAAGGCACGTTCCCATTTTTTGAATAACTTTCCTTAAGCACAAAATATAGACATGCGCCTTTCACTATTCGAAAGATCGATGTTTAGGCCATCGATCGATATAGAACTCATGAAGGCGAAAGATAATTTTTCATAGGTGCTTTTGAGTTAACACTTTTTTCTGCGATTATTTTCATCAATCTTCAAAATAATCTCAACTCAAATTATATCAAAATATAATTCAAACTACTCTTCTTTCACTATAAAATTATCATGCCTTTTAGAATCTGTTAACCTTTTATTCTAAGCTGATTTTCAAAAACAAATGTTAATATTATGGCGAAAAAAGGATAATTTGAGCTACATTCTGATATAATTTGAGTTGAGATTATTTTGAAAGTTGATCAAAAATAATCGCAGAAAAAAGTGTTGATCTAAAAGCATCTATAAAAATTATCTTTCGTTTTAATGAGTTCTATACCAATCGATGGCCCAGACATCGCTCTTTCGAATGGTGAAAGGCACAGGTCTATACCTTGTGCTCAAGGAAAGTTATTCAAAAAATGGGAACCTGCCTTTTATTTTAAAACGCACAATAGTTTATCATATGTATTTAGGCATGCGCTGAATCCAAACTTTCCCTGTCGAGTTCAGTGATTTTCAGTAAATTATTAAAAAAAAACATTTACACGTAAAGCGAAAAAAGAGGACTTCAAGATTGGATATGGAAGGTCAATTCCTGATGGAGAACTGAATCATCATCAATGTTCTAGAAAAATATCAACGATGTTCAGAAATACACCAATCTGAACTTGATCAAACCTTGAAATATATTTCAACAAACACTTGACACTATCTGAATCAGTTGAATAGTGTTCGAACGTGAACTCTTCGATTTTAGACTGCAAACAAGAATTCGAGTTCAATGCATACCTGCATCCTTTCAAATTTATGAACAATAATTTGAGATATAATTTTGAGCGTAAATTTTTTTTTCTCGTTCAATAGAATTAATCACCATATGTACAATGCTGATCATTTTCTTTTGATGAGTAAAAAGTTTCAAATCTCATATTATATAAACTTAGGAATCTTTAAGATTCAAAGTATGATGATTGTTTTGAACTGATTATTAAAAAAGCAGTCTTATTAAAACTAATGTATACCATAGATGTGCAGGATAATCGTGTCCTGCAGAGTAGAGCATGGTAAGGGTTAGAAAATTTTTCTCACAGGAAGAAGATTAGAAAAATTCTATAAGGGCTCTTGCCTATGGGCCTCTAGAGCTGAAATATTACTGGTTTACTGAGTTTTTGATCCAGCTTTAGATATTTACCGAAAAATCAAATAACAGTATTTTTGACCTGAAATTTCGACCATAAATAGGTCGAATATTCTGAAAGTTTCAGCCAAAAAGAATGTTCTTTTGTCAAGATATTGAATTTTAAAGTGAACTCGATTTTTGTGGCAAATGACCATTTCTTTTAGCAATTCAATATCTTGACCAAGGAACATTCTTGTCAACTGAAATTTTGAGGATATTCTACTAGTCATTTGACCTGTTTGTGGACAAAATTTTCAGATCGAAATAGTATTATTTGATTCTTCGGTATGTTTTAAAACATCGCAATAAAAACTGAGCGTGAACGTTAAATAGTAAGATTTCATGAAGGATCATTTAACTGTGCTTGACACATAAATTTATAGAATTATTTTACAATTTCACACTATGTGTGATGATCTCATCGATCAGGAACTGGAATGATAAGCACGAGGAAACTTCAACATCGATAAGTTAAGCAAGTAAAAAAATGACGGTAAATATGACATCTACTGAAAGATCAATAAATGAATAATCACATGATAGACAATATTCGTATTGTTGTTTTTTTGTAAGTCCTATTTATCGTAACCAATTTCACAAAGAAAAATAAAGCATATTTACATAATTAATCTGAGCACAATAAAATCAGTGCAACAAAATCCAAATTTCTATTGCAAAATATAAGAAAACCTGAAATATATCATTAAAATAAATACAAAAAAATATACATGTATATTCTTCAATATAAAAATTTGGTACTATATACAATCTTCACTGTCTTTTTTTGTTCACTCAATTTATACATAACTAAGTATGATCGAAATAGTGACAAACATTTTTTATTGATGTAGAAGAAAATTATCTTCATAAAATTTTAATAAAAATATTTGTGTAGAATATCTATTGTATAAATCTTCACCGAGTTCTTCAATCATGTCTTGCTAAAATGAAATAATTAATTGAATAAATGGTTTATTTTCGTATATATATATATGTTTTATATATTTACTAACCATCATTTGTGGTTCACTAGCATTCTCAACTATTTTTAAAACACGTCGTAATTTATGTAGACTAATTTCACGAAGACAACTTCTAAAAATAAATTTCTTTCTTTCTTTTTTTTTTGTTTTTTATTAAAATAAATTTACTCTTGTATTAGTTTCCAACGTTGATAAATATGATTTGTTTTATATAATGTATCAGATATTTTTCGATTATCTGATGACCATATTTTATTTTGAGAAGATCTATTTTCAGTTGTATTTTTATCATTAGTATTACTACTACTATATGATAATTCATTTGAATCATGAATATTTGTTGGTGGTAGTTGTAATGTAGCAGTTAACATAAAAACGAGATCATTTATATCTTTTTCTCTAGAATTTGAAAATCAAAAATAGACAAATAAGATTTCTATGATATAGTATTACCCTTCTTTTTTCTTTTCCGTTTCTTCTGTTAGACTAACTTGTGATGTTAAATATTCAGTTGATGATTGTAATTTATATTCTCGACGACGTTGACGTGCACTAGAAACAGATCCCTAAAAGAACAATCACAACAAAATTAATGATAAAGTCATTATAGTTAATTGATATTGACCTGATTTAAATCATATGAGTTTGTTACTCGTGATTGTGATGAAGAACGAGAAGAGTTCATTTTGAATTCAACTGAACCTGGGCTTGTTTCTCTTTGTGATGATTCAACAGCCTAATCAAATTAGTGAAAACGATTATTAAAATTACGAAACTTATTTGTTTTTTTTTAATTTTAAAAATATTTTGAAGTTAATAATCTATAGTATTTTATAATGGGAAAATTAAAGTCATAGAAGACGTATGTTAGACATGTTAAACTTACAAATCTAGAAGGTCCTATAGTTTTAGTTACATTCAGAGATTGAAAACTAATCGATTTTATAAATGATCAGATACGCGAATGAACATTTTATTATCAAACGGCAGGAACTAGTCTATAGGCAAGCACCTAATTGAGGATGAGGCAGGGACGGCACGACCGGGGGGGGATAGGGGGGTCACCTCCCTCCTGCTTTGGAAAATTTTGATTGGAGCTTTCTCCGAATTTGAAAATTTTGGTAGTGCCAATTCTCTCCAAATTTGCGGGATCATTAGGCGATTTTCTCCGATTTTGGAGAACTGCCGTAGACAATTTTCTCCGATTTTGAAGAATCAAAGTGCACAATTTCCTTCGATCTTGGAGAACTACAGCAGACAAATTTCTCCAATTTTGGAGAACTACAGTAGACAATTTTCTCCAACTTTGGAGGACTACAGTAGACAATATTCTCCGATTTTGGAGAAATACAATAAACAATTTTCTCTGATTTTGGCGAACTACAGCAGACAAATTTCTCCAGTTTTGGAGAATTACAGTAGACAATTTTCTCCAACTTTGGAGAACTGCTGTAGACAATTTTCTTCGATTTTGGAGAACCCCAGTACACAATTTTCTCCGATTTTGGAGAACTACGGTAGACCATTTTCTTCGATTTTGGAGAACTACCGTAGACGATTTTCTCCAATTTTGGAGAAGTACAGTAGACAGTCTTCTCCGATTTTGGAGAACTACGGTAGACCATTTTCTCCGATTTTCGAGAAATACAATAAACAATTTTCTCCGATCTTGAAGAACTACAGTACACAATTTTCTCCGATTTTGGAGAGTTAAAGTACACAATTTTCTTGGACGTTGCAGAATTACAGTACAGAATTTTCTCCAATTTTGGGGAGCCATAGTAGACAATCTTCTCCGATTTTGGAGAACTACCGTAGTCAATTTTCTCCGATTTTGAAGAAAAATAGTAGACAATCGACCCTAAATTTGGCAAAAATCTAAGTTTGAAGAAATCTATTCTACTATTTTTGTTTCGGTTCTTGAGATTTTTGAACTACATCAATAATCTAAGTTTGTGTTTAAGCGAGAAATTAGTATTATAACTAGATGCATCTGTCATCAATAGCAATATGTGATACGTGGATGTTAACGATAACTGAACGAAGAATAAAATTTTGAAAAAAAAAAGAAAAAATCAGATTTTTTGTTGGAACCCTCGGTATAATATTGTATGAAGTGCGGTCCGAGTAGTCGAAGGAATGTCGGAAAGTCTGCTTCAAAAAGAAAGCGATGACAACCAAAAAGGTTTGGAGTCTTCCTCCAAATTTCAGCAGAGTGGGAACGTTTTTTTTTGCTCTTCAATTTTGACTTTTTCAGATTGGAGGCTCCGATTTTCGGGATACCCTCCTCCTGCTCTGACCTCTTCGCGCCGTCCCTCATGATGCCTCAGCTGTATAATCAAGTAAAACAACAAACTATTAATAAACAACAAACATCAAAATCTAAGAAGAAGAAAGAAAAAGTCGTACTCCTTGTTCAGTAGTAGCTTCAAATTGTGTTTGCTTGGCAACACGATAAACAATATGAACATCTTCAGATTCAATTGATACATCATCAATTGTTGTTAATGGACTTTCACTTTCACCTTTTGATAATAATTTTTCAATATCTGTATCAGATATTCCACGAATTTTCCAGTTACTAATTTAACTTTAGCTCCAGCTTTTTTCCCTAATGTCGGAAAATTTGGTTCAGCATGTATTTCAACTCCATAAAGTTCACGATCTTGAGATAATGTTACCTTACGTACATTTAAACCTTTTAGAATAAAAATAAATGTTAACGATAAAAGAAGGATTAGACATACTTCTCGAACAAAATCTTCTAATGATTGTACATCTTTTAATACTGACACATCTTTATGAATAGCAACAAATTCAGGTAATGGATACTAAAGAGAAATCATTTTCGAATAATTATATGAAATGAATTATCTCAATTTACTTTCATTGGAATAATTTTTCGTTCTCGTACAGTTCTACCTAATCCAATAACTGTTTGAGCAACAGCTACAGCACGTTCAATATCATTATTTACTAATGTTTTTCTAAATAAAATAAAAAAATTTCTATTTGATTTAAATTAATGACAATTAAAATAAAACTAACTGTGATTTTGGAATCACTTGAAAATGAACACTTATTTCTTGTTGAGAAGAAGATGATAATAACTGTGTCATTAATTTTCTTAATATTTGATAAATATATTTAGCTAAAAATGGTGTAAATAGTGCCATTCATTTTGCCATTGTTAAAAGAATATAACAAAGAACATTTAACGAAACAAGACAATCTTCCAATGTTGTTTCACCCTAAAAAATAAATTGTTTCATCTTTCACCAATAAGATGACTATTTATTTAGCCTTGAGGAAAAGCAAATCATTAAACTTAGAGTGATTTGCATGGCTAATGAAGGCAAAAATCGTTCTATTCTTACCTTAAAACGTTTCTTGTCTAATTTAACATACCAATTAGTTGACATATGAATATATTTAACAAGACAAGGTACTATTGTATATAAACGATAAGCTAAAAAAAAGAATTCATTTTTATTTGCTTCAAATATAAATACTTCTCATCCATTTCTTGTTTAACAAAATCAAGTAATATTTGTGTATAAGAAACAATCCATGTATCCATAACATTTGTATTTGATGACATTGATGAATATAAACATTTTTCATCAAAAATAAAAAAAATGTTTTTTATCAACTTTTAATTGATCACAAGATTTAACAAGACGTAATGCATTATACCAAAGTAAAAATACATCTTTCACAACACCACAAACACCTTCCTCTTTAAACTTAAGAGATTTACTACGTACAACAGGATTTTTGTTTTAATTACATCAAAAAGAAAAAAAAGGAAAAAAAAACCTATTTTTTTGAATTATATCATTGCGATCTTATTGCTTTCGATTTGTCCTAAATGATTATTTTCAAGACCATCAATGAAAATCATTAATAAGCTCGTACTTGAAGCTGCAGTTGTCAAAAATTCAGTAGGATCTAACAATTGGCGGGTGTGGGTGTGTGGGGTGTGGGTGGGTGTGTGGGGTGTGGGTGGATGTGTGGGTGTGGGTGGGTGTGGGTGTGGGATCTCTTTAATCACACCCACACTCACACCCACACTCACACCCACACTCACACCCACACCCTCACCCACACCCACACACCCACACCCTTCCACCAATTGATATTATACGTTGAAATCTTGTATCTTTCATCGTGCTTAAGTTCATTATAATAAATATTGATGAAGTACAAACAACCATTGGCAATAATGCAAAAAAAATCCGAAAAAGATGTAATATATTTTTCTCTTAGTATATATATTTAACATTGTTGTAAATACAACTTAATGTAAATTTTGTATTTTTATGTAAATTTTGTATGTGTATCTAAACTTTGTATGTGTATGTTAAATAATGTTGATGACTAATGTTTCTTTTGTTTTCAATTTAACTATCTGTACATGTGAATTATATATGTAACCAAAGAAAAGAATAGTAACAACATTGACTATTTTTTTATTTGTTTACCTGTAATGACATAAGAAATTGTGATTCACTTCAACTGTACCACTAAATGTACTTGTTGTTCCATCATAATCAATACCTTCTTTACAACGATCAAAACTAAAACAATGAAATTATTTAAGGGACCCCCTCAGAACATCCAATTTTTTGGAGACGAGTCGAGTTTGAAGTTTTATCATAGGAAGATGCAGCGAAGTCCTCTTATGTCAGGTTGATCTGTGAGTGGCTAAGAAAAAAGAGCTTTGGGGAAAGTTTTTGGAGAAAATTTCCGCAGAGGGGGGGGGGGAATTTTTGATTTTTTGAAAGATTCTGCACCTCTGTATATCAGATTGTTCAGTCGAATTTTCATGTATAGTAAAAGAAAAAAAAAAGATGAATTTTTTTGTAATCCAATTTAGAATTCTATTTATTTAGTTAATTAAAAATTTTACTTACGATTTGAAATAATTTTATTAAATCTTTTCCAAATATTTTCTATATCTGTATCAACTTTAACTTGAAATTGATGTTCATTTATTGGTAATAAATTTGTATCAATACCTTTTTGTAGTCTTTTTTCACATTGATTTTTTAATAATTTATTTAAATTTGACATATGATTTTCTCTAATATTATCTAAAATACCAATAAATACACGACAATTATCTGGTATAAATAAAGCAATAAATAATTTTCCATTATCTTGATATGTATATATATATATAAACTAGCGGAAGTACCCGATGTTGGTTGAAATAATTTGATAATACATACTTGACATATTCGAAAACGACATCGTTATGATCTCCTATCAGTTATCGGGCTTCGATATCGCGAAATGTGTTCAGATCACTTTTCCTTTTCAATTGTTGCTTTCGTCATTTTTAACTTTTAAAAATGTTTTCATCCTTTTCGATGTTCTTTTTGTTTGATCGACTACTTTTATTAGGAAAAGACTGTGTCTAATGAAATACAATTCTTATTGCAAAGCTGTTTGATACACAATGTTCTTGGTTTTCGCATCAGGTGCAAAAACATACAAATTCTTCCCAGTTCCAACTCTTGAGCATGCTACGTAAAATTGGCCATGAGAAAAGCAAGGAGTTTCTAGATTATCTTCCTTTCCTTGTCTGTCACGCCAATCTCGTCTCAATTTTTCTCTAGACTAAGGGGTATGCCATGGAAAGTTTGATGGCGCTAGTTATTAGCGAAACCAAATGCACAAAGAACAGACAGACAAACATTGTTGTTTATATAAACAGAAGAAGATACTCGCTTCCATACCCTACTTGTATTCAGTGCTTGAATCCCTAATTCGAACTCATTGCCTCTAGAAGCCCTTACCTAACTTTTCTCCTGAAAACGCAATTTTGATTAGCTTGTTTCTTAGCAGCTGAATCCTCATGAGTTTTCGGACAACCAATCAGATTTCAAGGCAACCGGACCTCAGATTCAAACTCATCGCTCTAAAATCCCTCTGCCCCATCATTTCCTTGAATGTATAAGTGTTTGGGTCTATTTTCCTAAGAGCTGAATTCCTATTGGTTTCCAAACAACCAATCAGATTCCGAGGCGAATGGACCTCGGATTCGAACTCATCACCTCTAAAAACCCCTTGCCTCATCACTTCCTTGAAAATATAAGTATTTGGATCTGTTTTCTTAAGAGCTGAGTACCTATTGGTTTCCAAACAACCAATCAGATTTCGAGGCAAATGAACCTCAGATTCGAACTCACCACCTCTAAAAACCCCCTGCCCCATCATTTTCCTGAAATAATAAGTCTTTGGGTCTATTTTCTTAAGAGCTGAATTCCTATTGGTTTCCAAACAACTAACCAGATTTCGAGGCAAATGGACACCAGATTCGAACTCACCATCCTCGAAAACCTCTGGTTCCATATTTCTGTGTGTTCACGAAGTGGTACTCAACAGTGCTTCTACAGTACCGAATACTGCAATCTGATTGGTTAGCAATATAGGCAGGTTTTTTCCGGACGAAGGACCAATTTTTTTGAAAAAAAAGTAGACGTCGACCTTCCCCTGGGTGAGAGGAACATTCTTGGAAAGTTTGGTTGCATTTGCTCGTACCGTTTGGGAATGCATAGCGAACAGACAAACAAACAAACAGACAAACATTCTTCTTTATATATATATGTCGTATCGAAGTTACCCTGTTTATCGAAGTTGCAACTTCAATAAAAATTTTATCGAAGTTACAATTTCGATGGATAATTTTATCGAAGTTGTAACTTCGATAAACATATCTCATCGAAGTTATAACTTCGATAAGGAAGATTATCGAAGTTACAACTTCGATAAGGGAGATTATCGAAGTTACAACTTCGATAAGGCGAGGCTATCGAAGTTGTTTGGATGAAGTTTAGTACTAAAATTATTGATCATTTAATGACATTATTAAACCTGATAGTGACACTTAATTTTTCTACTACGCAACAGACATTCAGACGATGGTGTAGATGAAGCTACTATGTTGTTCAAGTTTTTAGTGTTAGTTATGAGTAGAAAAAAATCATATACTGAGATTATGAGTAAGTGTGATACACGTTTTGTGTGTAGTCATTTATTTATACTATCGAAATTGATCCATTTATTATAATCCAATTATCACATAGGTCCAATTGCAAAAGTTCCAATAATTTTATAATTAGCTTATAGACTAGATCTATACATGATTAGTACTTGGTTTACAGCAATCATGTGCTTTAGACGACTATCACTGTATACTTCAATTTCTAATTATGGCATATGAATGCTTGTACTGATCGTTTCTAATACTTAGCGTTCAGTTTACTGTACTGAGGATAAAAAATAAAAAGACAAAAAATGTACTGTCTCAAAATCTTCTTCATACTTTTTAAATTGTTAATTATTTGATCAAATAAATGTTTGTTGTTTAGTAGAATATTAAGTGTCACTATCAGGTTTAATAATGTCATTAAATGATCAATAATTTTAGTACTAAACTTCATCCAAACAACTTCGATAACCTCGCCTTATCGAAGTTGTAACTTCGATAATCTCCCTTATCGAAGTTATAACTTCGATGAGATATGTTTATCGAAGTTACAACTTCGATAAAATTGTCCATCGAAGTTGTAACTTCGATAAAATTTTTATCGAAGTTGCAACTTCGATAAACAGGGTAACTTCGATACGACATATAGATACATTGTAATGTACCAGATTGTAAATATGTTTGTTCTGATAATGATAAAAATTCTAATTGATTAAAATGATATAAATTTGAAAGTATATTTGTACAATGATGTTCTTTATGTAATGAACATATACAATCAAGTACAATAAGTAAATGAAAATCTAAGGGTACATTCATTTCATAAACACCTATATTTGGATTACTTAACTCTGTTATTATATATGTATAATAATTAAGAAAATCATTTTCATCTAAACGATATTCATATAAATAATAAGCTTGTGAACAACGTGATAATAAACGATTAACACGTTTTGAATAATTATTTATTGTACGTTTATAACCAATTGATCGTTGCATTGGTTTGAATTGTTCATGTGTATTATTATTATTATTATTTTCAATTGATGTACGATAATTAACATAAAATATTCTTGAAATTTTTATTTCAATTTGTACTAATTCATGTTCAACTAAACATCAAGCTTTAAATATACCTATTTGATCAGTTAATTCATATGATATTATTTGCCATGGATGTGTATGTAAATGTTCAGCTGCACGACGTATATATGTATCAATTTTACCATCGGTTGAAGGTTTTTATTTTGTTGTTAATTGAATTTTATCTGATATGATTGATGTCATTGTTCATGTTGTATATTCCATTTATGTTTTTGATAATTAAACCATTTAATATATTGATTTGTTATTTCATCAAATGATGGTGGTGGACCAAAAATAAGTCTCCATTGATGTGTTATTGTTTTATCATTTAATTCATCACGTTTACATTTTAATGTTTTTGTTTTTGTTTTGTTTTGTTTTTATTAATTTTATTGATGATTCAGTTTATTTACCTATATCTTCAATATCATTTGTTTGTTAATATTAATTGTTGTTAATTATTATCTATATAAGTTTGTTTATTAATTGAATTAAATACATCAGTTATATATTTTTTGTTTATATAAAGTTTTTTTTTTTCAACTAAACGTTTATGTAACCAATCAGGATGTGGAACACGTGATACTGGATTACGAATATTTTGTAAAGCAGCTGGAATAGTTATTATTTTTTGTATACAACTATTAAAATGATCAATACAAGAATTCCAATCAAGAATTTCACGTATATCCAAATTATCAACAATTGATAAACGTAACAATTTCATTCTATTCAGCAAAAAGAACTGATTTGCGTGTGTTTACACATTGTTCTTGATCTTTTTCGTTAGCCGTAAAAGTTTTGTGTCCTATAGATAGGGGACTATCCTAGGAATAAGACAAGTTGGCTACCGGCAGCCCAAGGGCGCCTCCCTCTGCTAGCATGAGCATTAGGACCCCGTAGCTATTTGAAATAGCTCCGGCAGGCGGACGTAACCATTTACATAAATAATGATTACGTATAGATTGTTCTCATTGAAATATAGCTAATGGAATAGTACGTTCAGTAATAGGTGCATCACGTGGTACATTAGCTATAACAAAACGACAATAAAGACCTTTATCTTTAATAATATCTTCACCAAGAAATTCAGCAAGTCTAAAAAAAAAACAAAAAAAAATTTTCAATGAATTATTCAGACTTATATAATTAATAGTATACATTCAAGTTGATCTAGCAAAGATTTATTTATGAGGAACAAGTTGAGGTAATAGCTCGCGTTTGCGGTGAGACCACAGTCATTATATAGGGTCTACTGAGACTAGAAAAAACCTAGAAGGATTCTTTTCCATACGCTGCTCTTTTTAAGTTATGGCCATTACACTGGCCTTTTACCTTTGGAACGGTATATAAAACAAAACCTGAAAAACGAATTTTGGCCTAAAACTTTACCTATAGACAGCTGTTGGAGTCATTAGAATCTCCTAAAAATTTCAGCCAAAAAATAGTGCTCTCTTCTTGGGATATGAAATTCACAAAAAAATCTAGTCTTTTTTGCTATGGGCAAAGTTTTAGGCCAAAATTCGTTTGTTCGGCTTTTTATGAATATCGTTCCCTTGATAGAAAATCTAGTACAACAGTCATAACTGCAAGTTGGCCACAAGATTTCACCTCTTCGTTAGTACTTTTCACGAGATTTAGTCTATTTGCGATTGATTGGATGATCTGATATATGGGCCAGAGATAAGACCGGTTCAGCTTCAAAAAACATGAATCGATCCCATCTCTGACATGAGTGAGAATTAGTCAAAATGGAATATGAACATCTTATTTTTGACTTTGATTCTTTAAAAGCACTAATTCTTTTTTTTGTTTTGAGTAAGTTCTTTTATTCATTCATGAACATATGAGAAAGTATTAGCTCTTTTAATTAGAGCCTGTCGGATTGGTCTTGGACAAATCCGACGGGACATGCTTCAAAAGTAGCAGCCAATGATGATTTGATGATATTAGGATCATCGTTAAGATTATCTGAATAATGCGTTAAGTAATTTTACCTTTTAGCTGTCGAAATTGATGTTGATTTTTGTTCTCCATAATCTGATAACATCCTTGACATAGTTCTTCGTTCTGATATTAATTTAAATAATTCTTTATCTGATATATCTTTTGCATGTGAATATAACATATCAAGCCAATAACCAGCAATAGTTGCAACATGATTCTAACATTCTTCAAGTATTGTTCCTTTAAGAAATGCTTCAAAAACACTTGCTTGAAATATTTTTATTAATTGTTATTCACCATTAGGTTTTACTTCAAAACCTTTTAATTCATCTATAGTACCATCCATATTAAATATACAATAAAGTTTTTCTTTATACGTTTTCCTTCTTCTTTTGATGCTGGTAATATCATAGCTAAATAAGGACCATAGATTTAAAAAAAAATTGAATTTTCTAAACAAATTTCATAAATTTGTTTACCTTTATCAACTAATTCATGATATTGATCATTTGTATAATGATCTTTAATGATTAAATTTAATAAACTACATGGATAAGATATAATAAATTTTGGACGTGATGGATCACGTATTATTAATTCATAATTTTCAGGAAATGCTGCTGGTAATACACACCATATATCATCTTAAATAAAAAAAAAGTAATTTGTATGAAATCTATTGATTCGTTAATATTAACTAATATCGGTTTCAAAATAAAAAAAAAGGTGAGTATTTTTAGAATAACTTTTGATAGGAACAAGATAGGGAGCTGCGGTTCTCACCGTTGGAAAGAGGCGATGAAACTGCATCGATTCGTATATTTCAGATTTTTTCTGACAAGTATTTTAAAGGTCTTCCCAAGAAGTTTTTTAAAGACTCAAAGATTTTACACGTAGAAGAAATTGATTTTTTATTAAAAACTAAGGAAAAAAAGGATTTTTTCGTTAAAAATTGACCGACAACACACAGTAACGTGTTCATAACTCATGATTAGCTAAAGATAATAACGTCGGGCTTGTATAGCTGATAGGTCTTCAGTTAGTGATTCTAGTGCCCTCCTGAAAATTAAAAGTCCATAATACTTACATTATATAACGTTTTGTCTTTTTAAAACTTGTCGAGGAACCCTTAAAATACTTGTCAGAAAAAATCTGAAATATACGAATCGATGCAATTTCATCGCCTCTTTCCAACGGTGCGAACCGCCGCTCCCTATCTTGTTCCTATCAAAAGTTATTCTAAAAATACTCACCCTTTTTTATTTTGAAACTGATATTAGTTTATGATTGTCAGTCCGATTGAACGAACACGTCAGGTTATTATTTATTGTCTGCCTGTTTGCAGACTATTATTTGAGAAAGAGAGGAAACAAAATTGAATATAACCGTCGGCCAACGAGTATGTTTATAATATATAAAGGTGTTTTTTTTCTTTAAACGACATTGATCATTGGAAAAAAAAAGTCGTATATCGATTATATGTTTTATAAATATACTTGTTTCGTTATTTTCATCGATAGATTTTATCAATGTTGTTGAAAAATGAAACATTCCTACCATTACAAGTTGGATTGTCCTCAACTAACGACAAACAAATATCATGCAGTGTTGACATGCGATCGTGGTTAGTGACTCATTCCATGGTTACATGTTTAATTCACCTTTTTTTTCTCTACATTTATTCTGCTGTGGTGTCTTTTTGTATAATTTTTTACGTATTGTTTCCTTCTTTTCGCAGTTTCATTCGTGTCATTCAGGAAAATCTTCGACTCAGGTCATATGAACTAGAAGAAAGATATGTATACTGGATTATTATATTGATAAAAGAAATGGTACTGGTATTCGTTTATGTTCTATTCGCATTTTTCTGTAAATCGTTCAGATTGGTCAATAACGATTCTTCTATAATATATATATACTTTCGTCGCTGGCTAATCGAAGCTTCATTTTTGCCAGTTCTTTTTGTTGGCACTTGTTTTATGTACTATGTTAGTTGTACCTATGAAATTTTCGACGAATATCAATCAGTTTACGTCGTCGCAATCATGCTCAAAGTGCCACTATTCTTCTTGATGCGTTATGCCGAATGTCAACCTGATTTTTTTCTCAATAGACTTGAAGCTTATATTGTTAGTGCAATATGTGAATTGCGGTCAGAACGAAATATCTTTTAGAAATTTGCTAAATAAAAGAATAGTTCGGTTCTTGTCCTTATATATGTTCATGAATCATCTTTACCAGAATTAGAATAAATTCAATATGATCATATGACATAAATTTGATTAACACATTTCACAATTGAACAATTATCGAAAAAATTTTTAAAAAAACTTGTGATATCATAATGTCATTTTCTATTTGATTCAGCTAAGTAAAGTCTGTTGCATAAAAGTATAATCAATAAATATTTCAACTGATTTTTAATGAGATATTGCTAATAGAGATCAAATGATAGTGTTATGAAAAACACTGATTAAGATGAGTGCTAATTTGTTTTTATTAAACTATTCAGGTAATTGTCTGTATTCTATGCAGATGTTTAGACAAATTTTTCGTTTTTGGCCTCAAAGCGAGTGATCGAATTGAATGTGAATTAATTCATGTGATTTGTGTTACTACATAGAAACAGACAGCAATCATATCTCTTAGTTCACTTTTAATTCGACAAGTTCCTTCGTGGTTATGGCGTTTCACTTGATTAATTCACCTTTATTCAGTGTCAACTGGAAATTTTTGTTAATGAACTTTCGTTTAGCTAATGTTGAAATTTGACATTCGTTTCGAATATATTTTGTTTAGATTGTATTAAATGTTCCATAGTTTATTAGATCACTCAATCAGTGTGATTGACTTTGCTCGTTTTGTTATTATACATTCTACAATCATATACAACAAAATTCTCTTTTCGTTTTATTCTTATGTTAAACAAACTCAATGAAGTTTTTTCTTCTCTGATAGTAGACGATATAAATGAGCTAATATAAGAATTATGAATAAGAAAATATATATAAGAAGTCATGATGATACACAACGTAATTGAATAATCATTTTACCATACATTCTTCAATGAGTTTTCAAAATAAAACGACGTTTCTGAAAAGTAACACCTAATAAAAGTGTTATATCAGAAAAGAAAATAGTTAATGTTGGAATGATTATATTAACTATTGTCTAATACATTGACAATTTATTATTATCACAATAACATGGATAGGAACATCGATCTTTTTTTTATGGTCTTTTCAAATTTGTAAATCATCGATCATGAAATGCTGTTCTATTGAACAGCCAAAACAGCTAACGATCGAGAAGCACGATTGAAGTTGAGTACTCAAGTTCTCGAACACATCAAAATCGATCTTACTCATTCAAAGTTTTTATATAGGTTTTCGTATATTCTACGTCGATCTATCTAATTTTTTTTTTAATAATCCCAAGAGATTCAATCCGACCTGTGGATCCTACCGGAAATTGATCGGATCAGAAACGGATTGCATCGGAATCTGACGCCTTCCGTTAAATCCGATTGGATCCGATCGAGTTTGCGTCGGATTCCTTGCAACAGGATTCCGGACCGGATTACGTCGGAAAATATCCGTTCGTCGCATTCAAACGGATTTGAAATCCATCCGATAGAATCCGACCGAGCGGCTTTTCTTGGTTTGAATCTCTTGGGTGCCTTTCGGAGAAACCGAGATACCCAAGAGATTGAATCCGACCTGTGGATCTTACTGGCAACCATCGGATCCGAAACGGATTGCATCGGAATCCGACGTCTTCCGTTAAAAACCGATCGGATCCGCTCCAGTTTGCGTTGGAATCCTGTGCCAAGGAATCCGGACCGGATTACGTCTGAAACGTCGGATTCAAACGGATTTGAAATCCATCCGACAGAATCCGACCGAGCGGCTTTGCCTTGGGTACTTAATGTTTTATCAATAGCTCGCTCATTTTTTTTGTGTATGTATCTTTTGTTTTCACCAAAAAGATAGCCCTGACTTTCAGCTACAAAACCCTCTCTCATAAAATTCATTAACATGAAGTGATTTACAGAATTTATCATTTCTTTTCCACCCACCAAAAACCGAGGACCTTCTTTGTCTGTGTGTTATCCACGAGTATTTTAATCATAAAATCCAAACAACTAAAGAGTTGAGGTTCAAACTGTCAAATATTATGGATTTTGTTCACTTACATATTTGTTAACAATTACAAATCTTTCCCTCTTACCATTCTCTAGATAAATTCGTTCTAAGTTGAAAAAACATCTGTGCGTTATCTGTGTTTTGTATGTGAAGTATAGTACGAAATGATTTAACTGCACGATTCCAAACAATTTCACATCTATGATCACGTGTTGCGTGATATCGACTTTTAATAACATCAAATGGATATGAAACTGTCCATGCAGCAATACTCGTAAAACCATCATCAATTAAACTTAAAAAAACAGACATATCAATTTCTTTGCCTGTTAGAGAAAATTTATAACAAAAAATTTCAATGGGAGAAAATAAGCAGCAAATGTCATTGATAAACCACGCATAGTTTCACGCTGAATATCTCGTCTTTTACATGATTTCTTTGAACAATGAATTGGTTTTTTATATGAATGTGTTAATAAGATAAATAACGTTCTTTGTTGTCCAATATCTTGCATTTGTAAACGTGTTTTAATAAGTTCAACAGGTGAACATATAAGTGCTTGTGTACAATCAGCAATACCATCAGTTATTGCTAATGCAAAATAAATATCAGAATCATTAAATATATTGTTTGAAAGATTTTCAATAGAAAAAACAATTCGATTTATAATTACAACACCAATCATTGGTGATGACATACCTTTATAAGATTTTAAAAAATTTATTCTAAGTTGTGAACCTCAAAACTAAGATTATGTTGATGAAACTAACTTGATTTTTTTTTCGAGATAATGAGAACTTTCTGGTAGAATCTATTAGGAATCGTTTTAAAACAAATCTATCACATACATAATTACCTACAAATACATTTTTTTTAACATCTGCATTCATATTTCTCTCAGTGACAGAGAATCAGACTGAATTGGAGATTAAAAAAAATCAATGAAAATTAATGAGAGCTTAGTCAAGCACTGTCGAACGCCAATATATTATAAATTTTATGGTGTTTTTAATAGAATATATATTGATCTTCAACAATACTTTCTACAATGTAGAAATATGTTTTTTTTGTCAAACTAAATTTTCCATTGTTGACTAAGTCGAAAGTTTTATAATCTGATAAACGATGATCTTCTTTTGAGAAGTTACAGGCATCAAAACACACGAAAAAAAAAGTAAGTTTTATCAAAAAATCGTTGAAAATCGGCTAAAAAATGAATTTCTTCTTCTTCTTTTTTTTTATGATAGATGTAACTTCCCAAGGGACAATCGTAAAAAATGCAGCGACCTCTTATTTTATTAAGAATTTTATGCTCTTTAAAGTGGCATCATCAAAAAACAATTTCCACAAACTGTTCAAGAACCTGAAAAAAAACTATTTTGAATTTTGTTCGAAAGCTTGCCATTATAATCTATCGATGAAATGCTGCTATATATAATCTGTTAGATAGAGCTCTTCATTGCCTATACAAGAATACAAATTGGATGTGTGAAAACAAATCATTTTGAGGAAAATAATTTATCAAATAGAAAGGTGCTCTAAACATTTTGTCGGTCAGTATAGATATATTTGTTATTGGCTTCGTATGGATTGAACTCACAATTGAGAACAAACAAAGAAAACCTGTTAAAATAAGAATTTTCCATGAATTTTCAAAGAAAAATATACATACTGTTCTATTTCTATTTCGAATATTATGTCCCTAGTCTCGATCCTGCTCATTGGTCAAGAAAGTTTTAAAGGATCGTTTGAGGATGGTTAATCTTAATGTTCTTGCCAAGTGTTTTATTCATGATCCTATCTCAAATCCTAGTCATTCCTGTGTTAGAAGATTTCTCATTATTCAACAGGATTCTCGTTAAGATTTGTTGAAGTTCTTGCTCGGACACTCTTCCAAAATGAGAATGCACGATCCTAGCAGATGTCGATATGAATAGGAAACAGGATTGTTGCTAAGATTTGAGGGATGTCATAATATCCGGGACTCGGGTATCGAGATTTTGAAACACCCATATATTTTTTAAAAGTGAGGATTTTGAGTGAATTTGGTGTAACAAGATGGATACCCTATCTTATAAAGTTGAGGATTTGCAGTGAATTTGGTGCAACGAGATGGATACCCAAAATGGATACCCTATTTTATAAAGTTGAGGATTTTGAGTGAATTTGGTGTAACGGGGTCGATACCCAAAAATGGATACCCTATCTCTCAGAGTTGAGGATTTTGAGTGAATTTGGCGTAATGTGGTGTATAGTCAAATGGGTACCTTACTAGTTTTTGTCTCGTTAAACTGGGAGAAGATATTCAAGATGGGATACCGTGCGTATGTCTTGTCGCGTTGCCACGCTTATTGGCCACCCACATCATGTGTGCTGAGGTGCGGGTGTTTTATCGGGTTCCAATCGTTCTGGGGCACCCTCATGAGATGCTGTGGAATTGGTGTTTGGCCTTTTGTGATTCCTTTGGCGGCATCCACACTAAGTCTTGTGCATTGGATGTAGCGGCACTGAATTGAGTCACATCGTGGGAGCAACTTCGGGTGGTTTACAATTTGTTAAGTCCACCAAGTGAGTTCTTTCGTGGCACGCACAACAGGTGCAGTGTTGTGGGTGTCTTGACGACTGTGTTAGTCCTCTCTTGGCACCCACAGCAGGTGTTGTGTGGTGGATATATTGATCGCTGTGTTGGTCCTCTCTTGGCACCCACAGCAGGTGTTGTGTAGTGGGTGCATTGATCACGGTGTTAGTCCTCTCTTGGCACCCACAGCAGGTGTTGTGTGGTGAGTGTATTGATCGCTCTGTTAGTCCTCTATTGGCACCCACAGCAGGTGCTGTGTGGTGGGTGTATTGATCAGGGTGTTAATCCTCTCTTGGCACCCATAGCAGGTGTTGTGTGGTGAGTGTATTGATCGCTATGTTAGTTCTTTCTTGGCACCCACAGTGGATACGTTACTGTGCGTATATTATCTGGTGCGTCCGTGCCTCGGTGGGACTGTTAGTCGGACACCTACACCTGCACTTGAATTCCCCTCTGGGATCATGACAGAAGATGAGATGTGTAAGAAGTGACCTAACATCAAAAACTACGACCGAGGATCGTCCAAAGAAAAAACTACACAAATATCGTAAGGAATCAGCTGCTGAAATCATTAAAGACTTGGTCAATGTTCAATGTTCTATGTTTTGACGATAGAATCTGCTCGAAGTTAGGTAACAGGATGCAAAAAAAAGAAACAGTTCCAAAGAACTTGAAAAGATTCATTAAAGTTTTGCAACAGTGACATGCGAAATCGGTTATTCAATGTATTTTCTTATCATAGATAAAAGTAATAAACTTCTGTTTTGTCGTTGGAGAAGATTCTCTTTCTACTACAACATTTTTTTTATTCACTATTGCATAGAGCAAAGAGTATTGTAGAATGATGCAAACGTACTTTGCATCAATGTCACATCATTGCTTCAAATTCATTCAAAGTTCTCACTATCTGAGGATTGGGTATCCGTCTTATTACACCAAAGTCACTCAAAATCCTGAACTCTGAAAAATAGGGTATCCATTTGGGTATCCACTCCGTTACACCAAATTCACTCAAAAGCCTCAACTCTGAGAGATAGGGTATCCATTTTTGGGTATCGACCCCGTTACACTAAATTCACTCAAAATCCTCAAATTTATAAGATAGGGTATCCATTTGGGTATCCATCTGGTTACACCAAATTCACTCAAAATCCTCAACTCTGAGAGATAGGGTATCCATTTTTGGGTATTGACCCCGTTACACCAAATTCACTCAAAATCCTCAACTTTATAATATAGGGTATCCATTTTGGGTATCCACTCAGACGGATATCGTGACTAGTACTTTCACGATACCCAGCCTTTGGATATTATGACCTCTCTGGATATAGAACTCATGAAGACGAAAGATAATTTTTCATACGTGCTTTTGAGTTAACACTTTTTTCTGCGATTATTTCCATCAATCTTCAAAATAATCTCAACTCAAATTATATCAAAATGTGACTCAAACTACTCTTCTTTCACTATAAAATTATCATGCCTTTTAGAATCTGTTAACCTTTTATTCTAAGCTGATTTTCAAAAACAAATGTTAATATTATGGCGAAAAAGGATAATTTGAGCTACATTCTGATATAATTTGAGTTGAGATTATTTTGAAAGTTGATCAAAAATAATCGCAGAAAAAAGTGTTGATCTAAAAGCATCTATAAAAATTATCTTTCGTTTTAATGAGTTCTATACCAATCGATGGCCCAGACATCGCTCTTTCGAATGGTGAAAGGCACAGGTCTATACCTTGTGCTCAAGGAAAGTTATTCAAAAAATGGGAACCTGCCTTTTATTTTAAAACGCACAATAGTTTATCATATGTATTTAGGCATGCGCTGAATCCAAACTTTCCCTGTCGAGTTCAGTCATTTTCAGTAAATTAATAAAAAAAAAACATTTACACGTAAACCGAAAAAAGAGGACTTCAAGATTGGATATGGAAGGTCAATTCATAATGGACAACTGAATCATCATCAATGTTCTAGAAAAATATCAACGATGTTCAGAAATACATCAATCTGAACTTGATCAAACCTTGAAATATATTTCAACAAACACTTGACACTATCTGAATCAGTTGAATAGTGTTCGAACGTGAACTCTTCGATTTTAGACTGCGAACAAGAATTCGAGTTCAATGCATACCTATATCCATTCAAATTTATGAACAATAATTTGAGATATAATTTTGAGCGTAAATTTTTTTTTTCTCGTTGAATAGAACTAATCGCCATATTTACAATGCTGATCATTTTCTTTTGATGAGTAAAAAGTTTCAAATCTCATATTATATAAACTTAGGAATCTTTAAGATTCAAAGTATGATGATTGTTTTGAACTGATTATTAAAAAAGCAGTCTTATTAAAACTAATGTATACCATAGATGTGCAGGGTAATCGTGTCCTGCAGGGTAGAGCATGGTAAGGGTTAGAAAATTTTTCTCACAGGAAGAAGATTAGAAAAATTCTATAAGGGCTCTTGCCTATGGGTCTCTAGAGCTGAAATATTACTGGTTTACTGAGTTTTTGATCCAGCTTTAGATGTTTACCGAAAAATCAAATAACAGTATTTTTGACCTGAAATTTCGACCATAAATAGGTCGAATATTCTGAAAGTTTCAGCCAAAAAGAATGTTCTTTTGTCAAGATATTGAATTTTTATGTGAACTCGATTTTTGTGGCAAATGACCATTTTTTTTAGCAATTCAATATCTTGACCAAGGAACATTCTTGTCAACTGAAATTTTGAGGATATTCTACTAGTCATTTGACCTGTTTGTGGACAAAATTTTCAGATCGAAATAGTATTATTTGATTTTTCGGTATGTTTTAAAACATCGCAATAAAAACTGAGCGTGAACGTTAAATAGTAAGATTTCATGAAGGGTCATTTAACTGTGCTTGACACATAAATTTATAGAATTATTTTACAATTTCACACTATGTGTGATGATCTCATCGATCAGGAACTAGAATGATAAGCATGAGGAAACTTCAACATCGATAAGTTAAGCAAGTAAAAAAATGACGGTAAATATGACATCTACTGAAAGATCAATAAATGAATAATCACATGATAGACAATATTCGTATTGTTGTTTTTTTGTAAGTCCTATTTATCGTAA